TTGAGTCAGTGAGTGAGTGATTGAGTCAGTGAGTGAGTGAGTCAGTGAGTGAGTGATTGAGTCAGTGAGTGAGTGATTGAGTCAGTGAGTGAGTGAGTCAGTGAGTGAGTGAGTGATTGAGTCAGTGAGTGAGTGATTGAGTCAGTCAGTGAGTGAGTCAGTGAGTGTGTGAATGAGTCAGTGATTGAGTCAGTCAGTGAGTGTGTGAATGAGTGAGTCAGTCAGTAAATGTGTGTGAATGAGTCAGTGAGTGAGTGAGTGAGTGAGTCAGTGAATGAGTGAGTGAGTGAGTCAGTCAGTGAGTGAGCGGGTGAGTGAGTTAGTGAGTCAGTGAGTGAGTGAGTGAGTCAGTGATTGAGTCAGTCAGTGAGTGAGTGAGTCAGTCAGTGAGTGTGTAAGTGAGTCAGTCAGTGAGTGAGTGTGTGAGTGAATGAGTGAGTCAGTGAGTGTGTGAATGAGTCAGTCAGTGAGTCAGTCAGTGATTGAGTCAGTGAATGTGTGAATGAGTCAGTGAGTGAGTGAGTGAATGAGTGAGTCAGTGAGTGTGTGAATGAGTGAGTCAGTGAGTGAGTGAGTGAGTGAGTGAGTCAGTGATTGAGTCAGTCAGTGAGTGAGTGAGTCAGTGAGTGAGTCAGTCAGTGAGTGTGTGAGTGAATGAGTGAGTCAGTGAGTGAGTGAATGAGTCAGTCAGTGAGTCAGTCAGTGAGTGTGTGAGTGAATGAGTGAGTCAGTGAGTGTGTGAATGAGTCAGTCAGTGAGTCTGTGAATGAGTCAGTGAGTGAGTGAGTGAATGAGTGAGTCAGTGAGTGTGTGAATGAGTCAGTCAGTGAGTCTGTGAATGAGTCAGTGAGTGAGTCAGTCAGTGAGTGAGTCAGTGAGTGAGTGAGTGAGTGAGTGAGTCAGTGAGTGAGTGAGTGAGTGAGTGAGTGAGTGAGTCAGTGAGTGAGTGAGTGAGTGAGTGAGTCAGTGAGTGAGTCAGTGAGTGAGTCAGTGAGTGAGTGAGTGAGTGAGTGAGTCAGTGAGTGAGTCAGTGAGTGAGTGAGTGAGTGAGTGAGTCAGTGAGTGAGTGAGTGAGTGAGTGAGTGAGTCAGTGAGTGAGTCAGTGAGTGAGTCAGTGAGTGAGTCAGTGAGTGAGTCAGTGAGTCAGTGAGTGAGTGAGTGAGTCAGTGATTGAGTCAGTCAGTAGTTTTCCTGATAATTGCACCCTCACCCAATACTTAATTACTTTCATGTAAAATGGCATTCTCAATCTCATTACCATAGTGCATAAATATCATTATTGCAAAAGTTGTTGTAGTGAATTAAAAGTATGCTGATTTTAATATTAAATAAGTAATAACAGTGTCCAGACAGAACGAGTTAGTGTTAGTAAGCGTAAGCTAGTGCTAATCGCTCCTCGCGTGTCGATGATGATTCCCTCTCGCTGATGAATGTAGCGGCGCTGAAACCTCTTCGGTGTTCAAGGGTTTACGTTCAGACTGGGACAAAGGAGGAGGAAGACGAACCTTATTTTGTGTTCTTTAACGAAGTGAACATCTGAGTAACACTAGTGTAAGAGCCGTGTGGGTTCATGACATACACTGACGTTTCAGAAACATCTCTATCCTGAGTTCTTGCACACTGTTTTAAAAGGCTGCCCTGTGATTGGCTCACGCTGATGTGATGTCACTCTACCAGTGGTGTTTACCTCCATTACATGACTTGTTTTTACACGTAACGTTGCATTACAGTGCAGAAATCCTCGAGAAACTGACTTCATATGAGACTTTCGATGTGAGGATCTGCTGATCGAAATATTCTGTTCTCAAGGTTGTTTTTGCTTTGACTTCCTGTTATTAGTTCTAGGTTTCATTCACAACGGCTCGTTTACTCGTTACTTGGCCAATTATGAGTTTTAATGTGTCAGAAAAAAGTCATACTGCAAAAAATACTTTTCTTACTCAGTGTTTGTCGTTTCCAGTCCAAATATATGAAAATTATTACAGCAAGATGCGTTCACTAGATGAGTAACATGACATTAGATATTATGTCTTGATTTCTGGGGAAATAAATCAATATTACACAAGTTTTTGCTTAAAACAAGCACAATTATCTGACAATCGGGTCAGAAAAATAATCCTGTTTCTGTTTAAATTAACATTATTTTTATAAAATAAATATGTAAAAAAATCTTAAATCAAGATACTAGATGAGTGAAATGCTGAAATAAAAATAAAGAGAGTTGTTGCTTTAAAACAAGCAAAATTATCTGCCAATCTGCAAAATAATGTTAATTTAAACAGAAACAGGAGGTGGATAATCCCCATAAAACAAGACATAATATCTAATGTCATTTTACTCATCTAGTAAATGCGTCTTGATTTAATATTTTTGGATATTTGGACTGGAAATGAGTCAAACATACCAAGTAAGGAAAGCATTTTAGAACAAAAGAAATAATATTTCACAAGCATGTTTTGAGCCCTTTAGGGTTTTTCTATTGTGACATCATTTTCATGCCAATTAGGCACATTTTCTCCCTTATGAAAAACACAATTTTTCATAAAATTGTAATATTACAGTAATGAGAACCACTACTGACTGAATCTCTTCGGCTGAAACATCTCATTTCATTTATTTCTATTTTTTGCATCTCGATTAAAAACGAGCGTGAAAGTCACAATGCAAAAATCTTCGTGGGACCAAAATATCCTTCGTCTTTCCCTAAAACTTAATTTCCTTTTTTAATCTTCATGTTTTAGGAGTGAAATATGACCTGGACGTGTGTGTGTAGTCAGTAGTGTTTGCTTCATCTACTGTGTGTGTGTGTGTGTGTGTGTGTGTGAGGATTACAATGGCATTCTCTCTCTCTGACGGTCTGAAACACTGGAAACAGAAGCACTGAACGACTCTTTAATTACTCTAACGAAACACTGTGTAGCAAATGCATCTGTTCACATTCATCTCCAGGCCCCGAACTCGTCCAATCTTGCATAGACTAAAAAAAATCAAGCCTTTTTATTTGCGTTGTTGCATTAATTCAACATTTCACCCACAAATTCTCAGCCAAACATTTTATACTTATATTTTTCATTACTGTAACGCAGTATTTTTTTACCCGTAGACATGTTGCATGCAAAATATCATTTATTTATTGATGGTTTTGGACGAACTGTGACCAGATCCATTAAACGCATGTGATCATAAATCATGTTTTGCTCACTGACTTCAGATCAGGCTGAGTGTGACGCTGATGATTGGAGGTGTGTTTTGATTTGTTGAAGGGAACTGCTGTACGTTAGGAACTCTCCATCCGCATGTTCAGAGCACATGACTGAGTTTCCTATCGTGGAATAATAATGATAACGTCACGTGTTTTCAGCTCTGAAGGAGGACCGATGCGAGGCACGAGATATGTGTTTGGTGTTCTGACAAACTGAAGTGTTTTACAGCAGCTGGAGTTCATGTTCTTTCCAATGTTTTGTTTTCTGTATGCGTCTCATTTTAATTTTTATTAAAATATTTGCTGATTACAAGAGCGACTGGGTTATTTATGTACTATTGAAAGATTCGAAGTCTCCAAAAATCCAAGCTAATGTTGATTCTTGTTTTATTACGAGCAGAAATATATATTCCACGGCTGAAATAACCTTCCATATAAACTTGTTTGCATCCTTGATCAATATTTATTAAAATCTTTTCTCATATTCACATTGCATGTCATACGAAAGCAATAATTCACTCGAGGCTGTGCGTTACGGTGATTTTACCACGATCGCTTGGTTACGCATTTCACTACAGAATAAAAAAAAAAAGGTAATAGCGACTTTTTAATCACACAATTAAGACTTTTTTTTTTTTATAACTTTCAGAATTGTGAGATATAAAGTCTCAAGTGTGAGAGTCAAATTTACGAAATCTCCAAAAATCCAAGCTAATGTTGATTCTTGTTTTATTACGAGCAGAAATATTGACTATATATATATATATATATATATATATATATATATGAAGAGTTCAGATGCAAAAGCCTCTAAATGTCATTTGAAATTTTCTTCTTTAATGATGATTTTTATCAAGCTTCTATATTTAAGTTCAGTGATTTCACTTAAATGGCAATGATAATTACCTATTAATTGTTATTTAAGTGAAATCACTAAACTTAAATATACAAGTTTGATAAAAATCATCATTAAAGAAGAAAATTTCAAATGGCATTTAGAGGCTTTTGCATCTGAACTCTTCATATATTCCACGGCTGAAATAACCTTCCATATAAACTTGTTTGCATCCTTGATCAATATTTATTAAAATCTTTTCTCATATTCACATTGCATGTCATACGAAAGCAATAATTCACTCGAGGCTGTGCGTTACGGTGATTTTACCACGATCGCTTGGTTACGCATTTCACTACAGAATAAAAAATAAAAAGGTAATAGCGACTTTTTAATCACACAATTAAGACTTTTTTTTATAACTTTCAGAATTGTGAGATATAAACTCTCAAGTGTGAGAGTCAAATTTACAAAATCTCAAAAATCCAAGCTAATGTTGATTCTTGTTTTATTACGAGCAGAAATATTGACTATATATATATATATATATATATATTCCACGGCTGAAATAAACTTCCATATAAACTTGTTTGCATCCTTGATCAATATTTATTAAAATCTTTTCTCATATTCACATTGCATGTCATACGAAAGCAATAATTCACTCGAGGCTGTGCATTACGGTGATTTTACCATGATCGTTTGGATACGCATTTCACTATGAAATAAAAATAAAAAGGTAATAACGACTTTTTAATCACACAATTAAGACTTTTTTATGACTTTCAGAATTGTGAGATCATATGTAAACTTGCAACTGAGGAGAAAAAGTCAAAATTACAATCCAAAAATCCAAGCTGATGTTGATTCTTGTTTTATTATGAACTTTATTATTTAGTTTTATTATTTAATTATGAACTTTTTTTTCAGCAGAAATATTGACCTTTTTTTTATCTGTTCCACGGCTGAAATAACCTTTCATATAAACTTGTTTGCATCCTTGATCAATATTTATTAAAATACTTCTCATATTCACGTTGCATATCACATGAAAGCAATAATCCACTCGAGGCTGTGCGTTACAGTGATTTTACCACGATCGCGCTTTAATGCTTTCAAATCAGTGCAGCTTAACAACAGAACAACCACATAAAGACGTTTACATATATAATAATAATAATAATGCTACCATACTGGTCCACTGAGACGACGATGCAGGTATTTTACATCATCAATGCATTAATAATAATAATCTCTAGTCTCGGGTGTGTGTGTCTCTGGACGCCAGGTCTTCCTCTGAAGGATGAGGATGGGCATGTTCTTCATCACTCAGCTGTTGTCTGAAGTCTCGTCGGGCTTGTCTGTTGGACTCCAGGAGCTCGTGAAGTTTCCCGTTCAGAGAGTCGTTCTTCTCCTCGATGTCGTCCAGACACGAGTTGATCTGGTCCAGCATGGAGTCGATCGCTGCGTACTCTGAGCCGACACACACACACACACACACACACTCATTCAGTGCTCTTTACATCCAGCTCTCCTGCTTTAAATCCAGTGATATTTCATTGTTTCTTAAAAAAACACTCACGTTGATCTTCTTCCTATTTCAGTGTCTGTAATCTGACTTTAGAGTCTGAATTGTTTGTGTACTATTATTAAATTAAAACTAGTATAAAAATAGTTTGTGTACTATTATTAAATTAAAACTGTTTTTTACGAGACTATTAAAAACATTCCACAACCTAAATTTTTTATATATATTTATGTGTATGCACATTTATTTATGCTTCTATGTATTAATATAGCCTATGAGTGTGAGACAGAGAGTGTATATGCATATTTATGCTTGTATGTATAGTGTGTGTGTTTGAATCAGAGAGTGTGTGAGTGTATATGTATACATATGCCATGAATAGTGAATGTGAGTAAGTGTGTTTATCTATGCATTTTATTTATGCTTTAATGTGTGTGCGCGCGCGCGATTAGTAAAAAATAAAAATGTAATGAAGTATTTTTTTTTAACTGTAACGTAGTTTTATTGTTAGTAGTAAGTTATGTAATCATCAAAGGTAAAACATCCGAGCAATTCAGTTAAATTGATATTCCAGAGTGAGAAGATTTCAATAATACCTTCTTCACTGAATTCATCTTCATCCTCGATTATTCCATTATCAGCTGAAATATCGGGATCTCCGTTTGGTCCAGACATATTTAAAACACAAGAGTCCTTATAACGATACAATTTAAAATATTAAATACAAATATATATTCTGTCTATATAAACAACATACTATTTAAATATTTACAATATATAAAAGTACACTAAAATATCAGACTGATCGAGAGAGGTGATTATAGAAGATGAAGAGCTCAGTATCATCAGCTGACTGACTGTCATGTGACCAGCGGTCTAATAATGCGCCTCATCAGAATAATATAAACACCACCTCCTATCTCAGATCGAAATATGTCTTTAATCCAATATTGATGTATAAAGATGGCATATAGCAATTTTGCGATTATTTAAAACCCCTCACTATTGCAGCTTTACAAACGTTTTATTTCTGGCATCGCGATAGACAGCCTTTGCTTGCACGTCAGCGGCGTGTTTATATGACGTCATGTTGTAGTTTTTGAAACGTCGCGGCGCGCTGTGCGACATGTGCAGCAAAACAGAAGCGATTAATGTTTAGTGCCTGTTTTTACATCGAGTTTGTGATAGTTGCTTCAATAGCAGGTTTTCCTCATATATATGTTTTATTTATCCCGTCATGGAGGATTTACCCGAAGATTTGAGAGCGTTTCTACAGAAGCATCCTTGTTTTCAACTCACAGACGCCAAGAAGGTCAATAACAACACGACGCTAAAACTCACATTTCACTTGTTTAAATGATCAGTTTTAGGAGATAAAACCTTGAATTAATGTTGAATGTCTCTGTATGTTTGTTAATGCTTGTGTTTACATTGGTATTTCCCAGATCAAGTGCACACTGAACGACCACGAGTTTCCCTGCAATCTCGACGAACTACAACATTTCACGTCAGGGAAGAAATACAAGAAACTGAGCGCTGAGGTGGAGTTTGACTACAGGCAGTACGAGCCCCATATAGTCAACAGCACTAAACAGCCGTAAGTACACACTACACCAGGGGTTTTACACACTCTAAAGAGTCAGGGACTCGTTATATATTATATAGGGGCAAAATGTTCCGGTTGTGCGCGTGACGTCACCGCCAGCTTGACTGTCAAAAAGATATATTTCTCTTGTTATAGTTAGTTTGTAAGTCTGTCTATTTAAGCTATGTATTTTTATTTATTTATTTTTTTTTTTTATCTATTTTTTTTTTCAATTAATTTTATTCTGATGTTTACTTTTTTTTTTGCTGTATAATTTCTGTTTACGAACTGTGATTGTATGTTTGTAATCTGCATTCTAATGAAAAAAAAAAGAAAAGACTGAGTGGCAGCATTTGTTTTCAGCCTAAAAACACTCTAAACTCGTTTAAATCGTAAAGGAGCTTTGATATTGACTGTATAAATAGATTTGACAAGAAACAGAAGTTTTATTTCTGTTATTTGAAGTATTTCATATTATGTTCATATTATTCATATCCTATGTTCATAAGTAATAATCAAGTTGTTTAGATAATGTTACTATCATAATATATTATGAATAATATCATGATAAGATACTATGAATCATACTATATGTGCAATCTTTGTATTGTGTGTGTGATTTGTAATATACTGGGAGAATAAAGTAATTAACTAACGAATGACGTGTTAATATTTTCGTGTTGAATAAACTGATGCTGATATTGTGGTTCTGTTTCCTCAGTAATCATCTCTTCTGCAAACTCACGTTACGCCACATCAACCGCGTGCCTCGACACGTTCTACGCCACGTCACCGGCAAGCGCTACAGGAAGGCTCTAGATCAGTGTAAGTTCTCCATTATGCGTACGGATCAGCTGACCCGCGGTCCGGCACGCGTGTGACTCGCGAATTAACTTGTATAACCGTCATTGTGTGAAAGGCCATGGTCAATTTACATTATCATTGTTACATGTCTGTTATTACGGCACGGCATTGATTACCGGATGCTTGTCAGTGCATTCGCTCTTAAAGTGACGGCAGCCTAATTTTGTGCTCCGATTACTAATATTGTCATTAATGAATATTGTCATTAATATGCAATGCTTTATGGCTGTGTCAGATGAGGAGTGTGTGCGCCAGGGTGTGAAGTTTGTCCCGGTCCAGCTCCGGCAGAAGAAGAGAGCAGCAGTGTGTGACGAGGACTCAGGAAGTGAAAGACGGCCCACAGGAAGTGAGAAGCGAGCCGGCAGTTCGAGTGACGTGGAGGACAGCGACTCGGAGGACAGTCTGTCTGACCTTTATCCACGTCAGTACACACACACACACACACACACCACTGCGGTACTGCAGTTCTCATTTAGAATAACATGCACTGATGAATTCTGCTTATTTTAGTATTATTTATTTGCTATTATTGTGTTTATTCATATTTTGAAATGGTTTTAATTTTTGTATTTTCAGTTTTCATTTTAATAATATTTTGTAATTGTATGTGCTTTTTGTTAGGTCTTTAATAATATTATAAATAATAATTGTGTGTAACAATGAGTTGTATTGCTATTTTGAGTTTGCTTTTATTTTTATATTTTCAATTTTCATTTTAATTTATTTAATTTTTAGCAATTTCATGCAGTTTTGTTAATTATATATTTTTTAAATAAATATAAAAAACTAATAAAATATTTTGTGATTTTGTTAATTATGCTTTTAATAAAATAAAATAACTTTTGTTAGTTTTATTAATATTTTGATTGAGCTTTTAAGTTTTCATTTGAATAATTTTTTAGTAATTTGATCTGCTTTTGTTCATTATTTTTGTTTATTAAAGATATATTTTTAAAAAACTAATAACATGCTTAAACTAGTATTGCATTTTTATTTATGGTTTAATTAATGTTTTGAATTGGTTTTCATATTTTTTTTAGATTAAATGTTAAATTTAGCTTTTTTTGTGCATAATTATGTGCGTTTTATGTGCATTTTTTATACTGCTATTTAGGTTTCATTATTTTTATTATTTCAGTTTAAATTAATTATTTGTTTCCAGTTAATAATTTTAGTACTTCAAACTTTTTTAATTTTTTTGCAACATTTGTAATTTACATTTAGTTGAAAGTTTAGTTGGACTCTATTTCAGCTTTAAAGGAGCAGGAATGTTTTCTGTGGTTATGATTATGGATCATAACCCTGATGTTCGTGTGTGTGTTGTGTTTCTGCAGCTTCTCTGTTCACTAAGAAGGAAGAGGATGAGCAGAACATGAAAGAGGAAGACGACTTTGAGACTGATGATGATGATGATGATGAAATGGAAGTAGAAAACCAGACACAGAAACGTAAAAAGGTGATTTGATTGACACGTGTGTTTGGTGAAGTGTACAATATTAATAATTGTAATGTGTGTGTTCTGCTATAATGTGTGTTCTGCTGCTGTAACGTGTGTGTTCTGCCGTTTCTCCAGCTTCCTCCTCCCGGCTCCAGCAAGAAGTTTAAGAAGAACAGAAAGAAGAACGGTTTTAAACATGTTGGCAAAGTAAATGGAAAATAAAAAAGTTGAACTCATTAAAATGTTTTATTTCTGTACGGGATTTTCACAATATTAGAGTATTGTTGAGATGCTATTCTAGTTTGTATTCATAGTTTGAATTTTTATATTTGTTGTTTTTAAATTATATAAAAAATACATTTTCTGTTTTCATTTTAATTGTTTTATTAATTTTTTGTGCATGTTTTTTTCTTTATTTGCAGTAATTTCAGTAAACTGGAAGATGTGTTGTTATTTTGAATACTTGGACTTCTAATGAACTTCGATACACTGAACCGCTGCAAAAATGATTCATAATAATAATAGTAAACCTATTAAATGATCTATCAAATGATAACTACAAATATGACTAATGATTATACAAATATGTCAAAAACTAAGAGCATAAAACAACAGATTTGTGTTTGCTCTCTTAAAGCAACACACACACACACAGGTTGATCCTTCTTCATATTGAACCTGAGTGTGTTTCAGCTGTTTGTCTCCTATTTATCTGATATTGTTGATTACATGTGTATAATTACAGACACAGCTCATGAAACATGCAGCTGTTATATTAATGCACTTTAGTGTGTTTCATTTATATGAGGGAGCATAAATAAATGTGTAGTGTGTGTGTGTTTTAATTTAATAAATATAATAATTGTCTACAATTTTGAAATTATACGAAATAAAATGTATTTAATCTGTAAGTAATATACAATAATCATTTTTTAAATTAGCTATTATAACTATGGTTTATTAGTAATACAATAATTATTAAGTGTATCTTTATTTTTGTATAATGTTTCTATTACGTGCTTGTTTTACTGAAATGTTCTCACAAATGTAATAATATTTTGTTGAAAGTCTTGATGAACTGTTTCGCCGTGCGCGCGCACGGTTGAGTATACGTGGCTCGCGGGAGGCCAGTATGCGCGCGCACGTGAACAGAGGTTCTTTCGTATCAGCGCGGTGCATTGTGGGACGGCGGCGGTGGAGGCCTATACAGGCAGCAGCACTTCTGAGTGTTTAATACACGTGTGTTTATAGTGTTAATATTTCCATAAGTCATATCAGCGATGGGGCAGGAGGACCTGATGAGCTCGGCGGAGGACGTGGCGGACCAGGTGTCAATCATCTCTATTTATCACTCTGTGTGTGTGTGTGTGAGAGAGATTAATGTTTACTTCCAGGCGAAGTGTGTTATATTACATGTTTTGTTAAATCTGTTTGTGCATCAGTGTAATAACACTTCGCTCCATGTTGTTTCTTTATCAGGGTTTGTTTTTAATTTTCATTTTTGACGTTTGAATTAAAATGCACGTGAATGCATTGAGTAAACAGGCATATATTGGCTGCTGCATGAGTTTAGAATAAGCAAAAACAAAATACACATTAAATGCATGTTCGCATTCTGTGTTATGAGAGGTTTATCCGGGTGTGAAAGTGCGTTATTGAGTCACAGCTGTTACTGTACCTCACTGTTCCTTCACTCAGTGTTTAATCTCAGTGTGGAGAAATACTGAAACTCAGACAATTAGATCATTTAAACCTTCTCGAAGCGCGTGCATTCACTGGTTTCCTCCAGAAATACTCAAACATGACATTTCATAAGAGCTGTCAGTGATCCTCCATATATCACCTGCTATTAACGTGTGTTTGCACGGGTGTGTGTGTGTGTGTGATTCCCAGCATGTGCTCGAGTCTAAATGTGGAAAAGTGGAGTGAATCGCTGGAGTTTCAGGTTACTGTGACTGTGAGCTTCTGCTGTTATGAATATGAGATATTGATGCAACAAAACCTTAAACATCAAAGTAAGTTTCTGCTTTCATTTGGATCTTCACAATGTGTGTTTCTAGATTCCTGGGTGGTTGTTAGGGTGTTGCTAATGTAATCTGAGTTGTTATTATGGTATTAAGCTGTTCTTTGGGTATTTTGGGTGGTTGCTATGGTGTTGCTAAGGTATTCTGAGTTGTTTTTGTGGTATTAGGCAGTTCTTTTGTGTTTTTGGGTGGGCGCTATGGTGTTGCTATGTATTCTGAGTTGTTATTATGGTATTAGGCAGTTCTTTTGGTTTTTTGGGTGGTTGCTATGGTGTTGCTAAGGTATTCTGAGTTGTTATTCTGGTATTAGGCAGTTCTTTTGTGTTTTTGGGTGGTTGCTATGGTGTTGTTAAGGTATTCTGAGTTGTTTTTGTGGTATTAGGCAGTTCTTTTGTGTTTTTGGGTGGGTGCTATGGTGTTGCTAAGGTATTCTGAGTTGTTATTATGGTATTAAGCTGTTCTTTGGGTATTTTGGGTGGTTGCTATGGTGTTGCTATGTATTCTGAGTTGTTATTATGGTATTAGGCGGTTCTTTTTGTTTTTTAGGGTGGTTGCTATGGTGTTGCTATGTATTCTGAGTTGTTATTATGGTATTAGGCAGTTCTTTTGGTTTTTTGGGTGGTTGCTATGGTGTTGCTAAGGTATTCTGAGTTGTTATTGTTGTATTAGGCAGTTCTTTTGTGTTTTTGGGTGGTTGCTATGGTGTTGCTAAGGTATTCTGAGTTGTTATTATGGTATTAGGCAGTTCTTTTGGTTTTTTGGGTGGTTGCTATGGTGTTTCTAAGGTATTCTGTGTTGTTACTGGGGTATAAGGCTGTTGTTTGGGTGTTTTGGAAGGTTGCTAAGGTATTCTGAGTTGTTACTATGGTATTAGGCTGTTCTTTGAGTATTTTGGGTGGTTGCTATGGTGTTGCTAAGGTATTCTGATTTGTTAATAGGGTATTTCTAAGTGGTTGCTTAGGGTATTCCTGGGTGGTTGTTAGGGTGTTGCCAAAGTATTCTGAATTGTTACTAGGGTATTCCTAAGTGTTTGCTTGGGTATTCCTGGGCAGTTGTTTGGGCGTTGCTAAGGTATTTTGAGTTATTACTAGGGTATTCTTAAGTGGTTGATATGATGTTGCTAGGTGGTTACTTGGGTATCCTGGGTGCTTGCTAGGGTGTGGGTGGGTGATAAAATAGGAATTATTAGAATGATCAAGTGTAATTTTAGTTGTTTTTTTTAAAGAAATATTATGAATTAATGCTTATTTTTATTTATTTTTAGAAATTTGGTTGAGCTTTTAAAAAAAATATTGCTTAAGGTTCAATTCATTTTTTATTGCAGTTTTACTTATAGTAAGGAAATAATTTTAGTGCTTTAACTTAAACTCAATTCAGTTTATTGACACCAAGGCAACCTTTCAAAATTTTCAACTATTATTATTTGTTTTGTTTTGTTAAACAGTTTTAATTGTTTTAGTTAAGGATAGTAACCAGTTGACAGATTTTATGTAACTGTTATTTTTATTATTATTATTTTTAATGTTTTGTTTGTTTGTAGAGATTACATTAAATGAATTTTATGCGCGACTAATTAAATTATTATTGTAATTAAAATATTACAAAAGCGAACTAATTATGTTACTAAGTTACTTTTATGGAAAGTAATGCGTTACATTACATTTGTGTTTTTCTATTTACTTTTTCTATGATTGATTGATTGGCTGCTGGCGTCTGGTCAGTGATTGGCTGATGGCGTCTGGTCAGTGATTGGCTGCTGGTGTCTGGTCACTGATTGGCTGCTGGCGTCTGGTCACTGATTGGCTGCTGGCGTCTGTTCACTGATTGACTGATGGTGTCTGGTCACTGATTGGCTGATGGCGTCTGGTCAGTGATTGGCTGCTGGTGTCTGGTCACTGATTGGCTGCTGGCGTCTGTTCACTGATTGGCTGCTGGCATCTGGTCAGTGATTGGCTGCTGGCATCTGGTCACTGATTTGCTGCTGGGGTCTGGTCACTGATTGGCTCCTGGCGTCAGTCACTGATTGGCTGATGGCGTCTGGTCAGTGATTGGCTGCTGGCATCTGGTCACTGATTGGCTGCTGGCGTCTGGTCACTGATTGGCTGCTGGCATCTGGTCACTGATTGGCTGCTGGCATCTGGTCAGTGATTGGCTGCTGGCGTCTGGTCACTGATTGGCTGATGGCGTCGGTTACTGATTTGCTGCTGGCGTCTGGTCACTGATTGGCTGCTGGCATCTGGTCACTGATTGGCTGCTGGCATCTGGTCACTGATTGGCTGCTGGCGTCTGGTCACTGATTTGCTGCTGGCGCCGGTCACTGATTGGATAGAGATTACATTAAATGAATTTTATGCGCGACTAATTAAATTATTATTGTAATTAAAATATTACAAAAGCGAACTAATTATGTTACTAAGTTACTTTTATGGAAAGTAATGCGTTACATTACATTTGTGTTTTTCTATTTACTTTTTCTATGAGTGATTGGCTGCTGGGGTCTGGTCACTGATTGGCTGCTGGCGTCTGGTCACTGATTGGCTGCTGGCGTCTGGTCACTGATTGGCTGATGGCGTCTGGTCAGTGATTGGCTGCTGGTGTCTGGTCACTGATTGGCTGCTGGCGTCTGTTCACTGATTGACTGATGGCGTCTGGTCACTGATTGGCTGATGGCGTCTGGTCACTGATTGGCTGCTGGGGTCTGGTCACTGATTGGCTGCTGGCGTCTGGTCACTGATTGGCTGCTGGCGTCTGGTCACTGATTGGCTGCTGGCGTCTGGTCAGTGATTGGCTGCTGGCGTCTGGTCACTGATTGGCTGCTGGCGTCTGGTCACTGATTGGCTGATGGCGTCTGGTCAGTGATTGGCTGCTGGTGTCTGGTCACTGATTGGCTGCTGGCGTCTGTTCACTGATTGACTGATGGCGTCTGGTCACTGATTGGCTGATGGCGTCTGGTCAGTGATTGGCTGCTGGTGTCTGGTCACTGATTGGCTGCTGGCGTCTGGTCACTGATTGGCTGCTGGGGTCTGGTCACTGATTGGCTGCTGGTGTCTGGTCACTGATTGGCTGCTGGCGTCTGGTCACTGATTGGCTGCTGGCGTCTGGTCACTGATTGGCTGCTGGCGTCTGGTCACTGATTGGCTGCTGGCGTCTGGACACTGATTGGCTGCTGGCGTCTGGTCACTGATTGGCTGCTGGTGTCTGGTCACTGATTGGCTGCTGGCGCCGGTCACTGATTGGCTGCTGGGGTCTGGACACTGATTGGCTGCTGGTGTCTGGTCACTGATTGGCTGCTGGCGTCTGGACACTGATTGGCTTCTGGGGTCTGGTCACTGATTGGCTGCTGGGGTCTGGTCA